AACCCTACTTCTGTGACAAAACAAATCATCTCATTGTCTTAAAAAATATCACAAACTTTACCAAAAGTGTTTTAAAACAAGATTAAGTTTTACGCAATTTAAAACATGAATTCATGTTTCAGAGCACACTGCAGACTGGGAAGTAGACGAGATGACTATTTGAATAGTTGAAAGCAAAACACCAGAGATGCTCTGTTTCAGAGCGTGCAGGAGTGACTGCCTTCAGTTTTATGTTGCACATCCTGAACACACAAATTCCACCAAAGAACGAACAGACCCGACAAACTGATGAATGTGTAGGACAGAATCCCTGAACATCTATATATATTATTCAGATATTATAAAATAACTAGTTTTTTAGGGGTGGGGTATATATTTTGGGTGATGAATCATAGAAAGCAAATTCTCTTATAATATCTCAAGTTTCCATAGATGTTTTAGAACCAGAGGCTATATTCCACCTTTCACAGAATCTTCCTGTGGAACCAAGCACAAAGCCCAGTTGTGATTAAACACAAGAGGAGAAACGAAGAAGCCACCGCTGAACTGAGTGCACTGTGTTATGTAGGTGCTCCACCTCGCATTCCAGATAAAAGAATTTCTGGGCTCAAGAGTGAAAACTTTGCATGTAAATGTTAAGTTTAAAAGTGTTGGCAGAATGAGATTCTATACTATTTATTCAGACTCTTCTAGAAATGTTCATGTTTAATTGTTAGGATAATATTTTAAGAGGAAGAATAGTACTTCTAAATTTGAAGGCTTCTTTGTTTAAATATAAATACAAATTAATCAATATGGTGAGTATGTTGTATGTAACATTTTTTACTTTTATTTTAAAAATGTCAGTTGCCTGGAATACTCATATATTTTGACTCATCAGGTGGTTATTATACAATTTTATTATGAGATAAACTATAACATATTGCCAGCTTTAAAATCAAGCATTCTTGAGTAACTGCTTTGCAATACATTAAAGCCTGAGAGAAGGGAAAGGGCGCAGAGCTGAGGAGGGAGCTGAGCAGGACCAGTAACATGTCGGGGACTGTACAGTTTAGTTTCATGGGGGAGAGGATCTGGAACAGCAGCAGAATCTGATGGGTAGAGAACACCCCAAAGTCATACAAGCCAGTGGTTTTGTTTCTCAGCTAAGGAAATGTGACCTCACCTGTCCATCCAATATGCAGATACAAAAGGTGCCAAGACAGAAGTGGGATGTGTGAGTAGGAGTGAAGAATGGGTTGTTGTGGGATATTCTGAAATTCAACTACTACTTACTCTGTGTCAAGTTCTATGCTATATTCTTCCATGCTTACTTTCTTTTTCACATGGTCATAATAAGCTTGCCTGTTAAATATTATTAACCAATGTCCAAATAAATAAACTAGCTTTTTCAAGGACTTAAAAACATTATTTCACTATTATAACCATAAATATGGCCACCTACAGCACACCGGTTTGGTGGGTAAAGACATCCCAAGCATTGAGTGTGCCTGAAATAAGAAATACGACAGTAGATAAGACACCTTGCTGAGCAAGAAACAGAGGTTCCATACTGAGTAATGCAATGATTACATCTATTCAAAAAAAAAGAAAAATTTAATTTACACATGGAATCTAAGGTGAGTTTGTTTCATACAAGACAGAGTATTATTAAAACAGAAAGAAAGGGAAGGAGAAAGGGAATTAGTAGTATCTGAAAAAAGAAAAAGCCTAGCTGATGAATAATATTCTCTGTGTGTCTATGAACAATTACAACATATTTTAGTACCCAAAATGCCAGGGAAACAAAAGGATGCTGCACATTACAAGAGTTATTATGTTTATGTGATGGATTATAGCTAATATTTTTCTTTTTCATTTACTTTTTTAGTTCAGTCTTCTACAAGAAGCCTGCATTTATTTTATAATTTAAAAAATTAATTTATTTGTAAAAATAAATATATGCATGGAAACGAGTTATTTCCTGACTTGAAAACATGGCTAATTTTTTAATCTACAACAAAGAAAAATTTGAGATAAAATTTACAACAGCTGTACTGAATTAGATTGAGTAGTTCATTATTTTATCAATGCAGTTGTTTCAACCCAATTTTGTCCTAATTAAGATTAAAAACTTAATATACTTTCAAATATGGCTTTCCAAATGTTATTCTGGGCTTTGTCTTGTAAATTTGACCCACTGATAGAACTTTTAAAAAATATTCTTTTTTCTTTTACATGTGAAATGTGTCTTTGGGAAAATACTGAATTCTGATAGTTAAATTGGTCTATACAATTTCAAGCTTCAAGCATAACATTAGATTTATGATAAACATATAACAAATTATTAGTTAATAATTTCACAGAATGTTATTACCTGTGACTTCATTTCTTGTCCTGCTTTAATTTCTTTTAACATATCTGTTATATGTTGGTGTCATTTATTAAGGTCTGTTTTCTCATGATTTCTAAAATTATTCAAAAGGATAAATGCCATTTAGTTTTTTCCTAAGAATGTCCTGGAAAATGTGTAATTTATTTTCCTTAAAATGATTCAAATTGCTATAAGCCAAATATCACCAAACTTGATTTCTTCTTCTGCTGACACTTCTAAAGGAAAGGTTATTAATAACAGTATTTCAACTGCATAGATCAAAGCACAGCAAGTTTGTAAAGTATCTCTACTGATTATTTTTAAATAAGATGTTTTGTAATCAGGATTTAGTTTTCAAAACACAATTTTTATTAATATTAATTAATATTCTAGGTATATCCTCCCTATTAAAATGCATTTCTTTCTTCTGTAAATTACTCACTGAAGTCACAGCATAGAGCTGAGGATCGTCACAGGCATTATGTTTTTCTGTTACATTTTCCTAGGTGTGCTAATGTTCCTGTCATGCTCATTTGTCTGCTCTGCATTAAGATGTCAGGTACTTGAGAGTAAAAAGACAACCTCACTAATTGTCTGTGGTATCTCAAAAGGTGCCTGGATCTAAAAATGTTGAGTGACATCTCAAATATTTAGGCCGATAATATCGCCTTCAGCATTTGTTTCAACATTTGAGTTGCTAATTTGTATTACATATAGAAGTTGCTTTGGTATTTTGTCTATGACCAACCATAATTAAAAACAGTTCAATAAATCTCACCAGAATTAAGAAATGGAAAGCAATTTTTTATAATATGATCATAGAATCACACTGAATGTGATCTTTCACTCCCATACAAATAAGATAGCATTATATTATTGCCTGCTAGTTATTTTTCTCTCACCTTAGAATAAGATTAAAATACATAATTCAATATGATCTTCATATTGCTAAACAATTTCCAATCATTGATGCTCCCTGATGAAAATAATAATTTTGTTCACTGAATTTGAACTTCACCCACTTAAAAATTTTTAAATAAATGCATTTTTGAAACTAACCAGCCGCATCTACTGACATTTTTAAACACCCACAGATAACATGGACAAGACTTTCCTATAATAATCATTTGCTTTCTCAGGGCTGAGAGAACTTCAGGCTGTAGCTTAGTCTCTTCTGACTGACATGAAATCAATGTTGGTGGTTTTGTCAGGGTGATACCAATATGGGTGGTGTGGTTTCTGCTCGTTCAGCTATCTTTAGATCGAAAACAAATTCTTAGATGTTCTTCTCTGAAAATTCTTTATGAACCTTTACTGAGAATAGGCTTTCTTAAAACACTTGTGATAACCAAAGCTCAATAATGCTTTTCACCTTGCTTGGCTCATTTCAGCATGTGACCCAGGAAAAAAATAAAGTGTGAAAGGTCAATTCCAGTTTCGGGGGGGGGCAAAAGAAAAAAAAGGAATGGTAATGACAAAGTATATTTTCCTGCTTTTGATGTTTTTAGTGAGGTTTGAAAGTCCAATATTTCTCCATCAAATGAAATAAAATATAATTTTGCTTTTTTCATATTCAGTAGTCTAGGTATATTTGTTCTTCCCTGAAAAGCTTTATGAATCATTTTTTAAATAAGAAATAATATGATGTAAAATCTAAGGCAAGTATTTAAATCCAGCAACAACAAGAATCCAGCAGCCTTCCCCTTACATTTGGACGGCAGAGGGTATATTTCCCTGAATAGGAGATGTTAATCAAAACCAAAATTAAAAAAAAAAAACACAATGTAGTTATTATTGGATAACTTTGAAAGTAACACAAAGTGTGTACCCTTACTCTTTAGCAGAAGGTAATGAGTATGTGGAAAACTATTGGAAACCCCCTTCCACTCCAGGTGCGATGATTAATTGCCTGAGTTCGCCTGTGCACTTGTCACGTGAACAAAGTGTGGCAACAGTGATGGGCCTGAACACTCCGGAGTATTTTATTACCTTTTAAGATGAATAGCATGTTTACCGATTTTACAAAATGTTAAGCTGCATTAAATGGTGGACTAGTTACAAATCTGTGTTTTATGCTGTTTTGTGGGTGGAGACAGGGTTTTTAATTAGCCTTAATAAGGTGTGACTTAGACAACCCACATTGAATACGTCAGCACAATACAGGTAAAACATTTATTTGTTTGAACTTTTTATTTAACTATGAGATTTTGAAAAAAGTACAAACCTAGTTTTAAGTTCCCTTTTCCCTGAAGAGTCCCTTTGTCACAGCCTGTGACTGTGTCTCTCACAGCACATTTCACACTTCCTGAGAAGAGTCTGCTCTGCAGAGTATACAAATGTTTGCTACTGTTTTATTTCAAATACGGGATTACACAGCAATGTTCATGTACATTTCAGGTGACCCAGCTAATTATGTGACCTCAAAAATACCCAAGAAAATCAAGGACTAAGGAAAATAAAGTAGATGCATTAGCATTCTAGATGCTTAACGAATATATTCCCTCAGTAATACTTTGAATGTCATTCATAAAGACATTTTTCAAGTTTCATTTTCATTTACTTTAATTATACATAGTATATTTGCTATAGATGTTGTTGTATGATTCTCTAAATTCTTGTTTCTGTGTTTATATGTATGTTTTTCCAGTTACTGGCTGACAAACAAAGTTCCCATCAAAAGACCCAGTACAGGCCTCCTCATGTACACACTTGCAACAAGATTCTGTGATGAAATTCACCTGTATGGATTCTGGCCGTTCCCTAAAGATTTGAATGGAAAAGCTGTCAAATATCATTACTATGACGACTTAAAATATAGGTACTTTTCTAATGCAAGTCCTCACAGAATGCCATTAGAATTCAAAACATTGAACGTGCTACATAATAGAGGCGCTCTGAAACTGACCACAGGGAAGTGTGTAAAGCAATAAAGCACATTTGGAAACAGACAAGCTGAATATGCACTTCTTTTCTGAAGATGCTTCCTAAGATTTGAAAACAGGATCCAAAACAACTCTGGGTTTCTGCATTCACCAATGACCTGAAAGGTGATAAAGGACGTTCTTGAGAAATCCACTACCAGCTGATGAAAAACCTGTAAAGTGCTCTAAAAATTAAATATCTTGACTTCAAGGGTCCTAGTAAGTGCCACTTCCACGAAGAACACAGTTTGAATGTATAATCAGTACTGTTTACAAGATCCAACAATGCATTCATCATTAGTTACCGAGGCAAAGATGTTCATCACTGTCGGGCTGCCGTTGCAACGCCAAGCACAGGAGAAGAGGAACCCAGGAACACAACTCCGCCCTTGGGGACGATAACCATCCTTGTCAGCAGATACGAAGATGCTAACAGTTTGATCAGTGAGATTCATAAATTTTAACAACTCAAGCAAATGCCTTCAGTTGAGACTGAGTTGTATCCTGAATTTTGTGTTTCTGTTTGTCTGGAATCTCTTTTGGATTGGGTATTTGGGGTGCTTAGAAATCTTTTCTAAGACAAATGTGAATGAAATAAATAACCAAGTGATCATGTTTAAAAATGTTCTTACATTTTTAAAGATCAATCACACAATGTCTTTGATACAAAGGTTTATTTTGCACAGCTCTAAACTTCCAGATTTTGTTCCATTGGTGTGGAAGGTACCAGCTAAACTATACCATTCAGTAATGTTGAGCCATTCTAAAGGAAAGGTGTTCCTATGTCACCTGAGGTGGTAATATTAGCTGAAAAAAAATGTGCTTTTGGTACCAAAGATTATACTGATGTTTCTACACAACAAACCATTCTCTTCCCATGAAAATGATATATTAATGTGTTATTCTGTCAGTGTGACAGTACTCTCTAGATATTTTAAATTTTCCAAACTAAGACTTCCACAGTTTTTACATTTCATAATAACTCTGTGGAAGTGTTTTGCCCTTTGAAATAAATGTTTGACTGACTGGGCTGAAACGTGACTTCCAGTTCTTTGGTACCCTCCCCCTTATTCAAATAAAAAGATTGGCATGCTCTTCGTACTATAGTTAAATGTCCTTAGTGCAGGAATAACATGACTAATAAGACTGCTGTTTCCCTAACAGGGATGATCCATTATAAGCGGTTGAACAATGAAACGGTGTGTCAGTATTATGCACTTTGTATGAATTAAATTGACCAACATTTTTTCTGTGGTTAAATTTATTCATGTTATCATATTAATGTGTTTTCAAAAAAGCACATGGAATTATGAATAAAGTAATTTAAAAATGTTGTAGCATATAACAGAATTGACCGGTAGGCCTGTTTACTGGAAACTTATCCTAAACTGGTAGGTAATTCTGATGGTAAATTGTTTCTGCCAAAAGCAGAAGTACTGTGTTCCCACTTCTACTCTCGGCCTGAAACAACTTAGATGACTTCTTCTTTTTTCAGGCCAGGCGGTCTGAGGAAAGAAGAACAGCACACAGAGTATGTGTGTTTTGTTCATTAGGGAAGACAGTGTGAAAAAAGATTAAATAGCATGGAGAATGTATATGTTAATGTTACCATGAAAAAGGATATTCACAGTAGTACCCCTCTCGATATATTAATGATATGTGGTATTATTTTTTAAAAAATATGGTAGAACTGTGTGATATAGAAGACTATATTTTCTGAGAATTCATGTGTCTCTAAGGAAACAAAATAGAAGAATAAAGGAGATGCATAACTAAAAATGGGTAGAACGTAATGTACTTTTATCACTAACCTCTTATCTATTGGAAATTTTAAAAGAATTAGGCACATATTTTGAATGTGAAGCTTAAAAGTCTGATTGGTTTAGCAAATCAAATGTAGGTAGGTGATTTATAGAAACTTAATTTCGGCAGTTTGTATATTAGTTGTTTGAATACCCTTTAATTTCAATTCAATGGAAATTTTGAAGTCACAAGTAAATTCTTAGAGGTAAAATCCATCTCAGAAGTCACTGAAAGTATGTCTTAAAAAGCAGCAGCAAGGTACCTTGCCACTTTTACTGTCTTTTCAGCGAAGGTGTTTAAACCATTTTAAGGCCACAGCCAAAGCATCCCAGCCGTCCCCTGTTCTGCGCACTGAAGTTCACCTCGTAGATGCATTGAGTAGTGCCTTTTTAGCTTCACATTGTGTTGCCACGCTATGCTTTGTGTTCTCTACATATGTTGCCCAGTTCTGAAAATGTTCAGCGTATAAAAAGGGCTTCAGTTTCAACTGAGACTACTTTTGTTCATCTCAGGGAACTTTTAATACTCAAGAATAAATTCAGTGAGAAGCATTTAGTGTTCAAAGAATATAAACCTTACACGGTCACTCCATCCCCGTTGTGTACCTCTCCACCCTCCCGTACCTGTCAAGATCTACTGTGGCCTTCCTGTGGGGGTGGGGCAAGGAGATCACAGAAGGCCAACAGCAAGAATAAGGAAAAGAATCCAGATTTAACCAATAAGGGGGCAAAAGGATCTTGATACCATGAAATTATAAATACATACTTGAAATACTGGGGTGTTTTTCTTTTGTACCATTATATGTTCACAGCTTTATTTTTTTTTTAATTTCTTTCTCATGATTTAACCCTTTACTGACAAATGCTCAGGCAGCTGACTGTGAATTATTCCTGTCCTTTAGAAAGCATGCTTGTGTGCTGTTGACATGAATGGGCCATGGAAACATTTTCATTGTTACTACCCAGGCTGTTCTATATTTACTATTACATTGCTGGAATTAAAAACAATGAAACGGTGACAGCATTTTCTGGGCAAGTCTAATTATTCAGCCCACGGGACTGATGAAATTACTGTGGAAGCTTTTTTATTGAAAGAAGGTACTGGGCATTCCAATGTCTTTATGTAGTATATATCACAGGAAATGTATATCAGTGGGTAATGGGAATTTCTACATATATGCTTACAGAGTGGTTCATTTCAATAATGCTATGCTTGCATTGGGGGCACAGTGGTGAGCATAGCAGCCTTCTACATGCTACAGGCAGTGTACATACCAAGTAGTCATTAAGCTACTACACAGGAAAAGGGTGAACAAAATAATTTATTTCTAATTGAGCCAATTAGTCGCAATGCACACAGTGTTGTATTGGTTCATAAAAGAGTTGTTTTTATGTGGTTACTGTTGAGAGTAGCTGTAATTGTGGAAGGGATGTAGGAAGACTTAAATAGAGTTAGTGGTTACCTCTACAAGTTTGAAATTTCCCCACCAGACATTATCAATATACCAATGTTTTAAAAGTTGAGTTAAAGGAGGTTATTGTTTGTATTTAATGAAGGAAAATCCAAATAAAGTCCACCTAGAAATAGATATTTTATTATATATGTGCTATAGATATATCTATATAGTACAAATAGATGTGTAATGCATATATACAATGTTATATATGTGTGTCTGTGTGTATACACACTGAGCCTGTAATATACACACATTAGATTTGTGTTAAGCTAACATCTTCAGGGGCGGCACTGTGAAGCACTCTGGAGATGAGACCACTTTGGGATAAAGAAGTTCTTTTGAGACTTCAGTTACTGACCTGCTTTAAGAGGGATCTACTTTATAACTGAATCCTATGTTGTCCATACCAAGACTTACAATAAGGGTCTAGTCTGTCCAAATGTTTAAAAAGAGAAAAAAATTTTTTTAAATCTTCAAGCCGGCAATGTATTTGAATTGCAGTTTTCAGATTGTGGCTTTGGGCCCTGGGTCTCCCATGTAAGTGGCACCTTTTAATAGACACTGTTTCTTTGTGTAGGCAAAAGCACAAGTGGTTCAGATGTATATAGCAGGAAAAAGTTTACAGAGACAGCACTGCTGCACAGAATGATTGCTACTGAGTATTTCTTATGTACTTTGTGAAATTGAAAGATAAGGTTTATTCTGTCAGATTCATCATGTTCAACACTGTTTCCCTGTCATTTATGTATAGCAACTGGTGTTACTGTTTTATCATTTGTAAAATTGTAAAATAAATTAAATCCCATTTTTTTCAATTTTTCTTTTGTTCCTTATGTACAAGCCCTTGGTTGTACTTTGTACACCAATATAAGGTCCTAGTTTTTAACAAGCTTTCATCTTCCCTGCCTCTCAGCCTCAGCCGTTGGCAGTTTGGCATTTATTTGAAAGTGCATGCACAGGACTAAGAACAACATCAAAAGCCCATGAACATCGGGAAATCCTTAACAATTTTATATGTGGTGCATTCTGTTTGCCATTGAAGGCATGAAATATTACACAAATTAGTTATTTAAATTCAATTTACAGAGCTACTGACTGCTGTCAGTCAGTCACCAAAGCTTCATGGTTGGAGAGGCCAATGGTTTCTTACACGCTCACTACACATGCTTAAAGCAGCCCTTTGATTTGCGATTTCAACTGCTATTACACCCACTTGGGTGTTCATCTTCCAGGAGATGACTCTGGAAAACTACATGGCTGTCTCTAACTAGCTGGTCAATGTTTTCAGACTCTGCACTATTGTCTCCATAAATTATTACATAAGATTATTTTTAGCATTCTGTAATTTTGAAACACATGCTAGAGACCAACAGCAAACCTTTAACAATGGTTAATGAATATAGGTCTTATTTACATTTTCTTAATTACCTTTAATTTCAAAGATCCATACACTCTTGGTCTCTTGTATCTATCTATCTTGAGGATATAATCAGATCTTATTATAAAACTGAGGTGCGTATTGCAAATACCCCAGCAATACAGATTAGATTAAATGCGAGGTTGTATGACTTTTGAAGGTTCGGAATTTGAACCCATCTGGTCAGCTCAAGTTCAGTGTCCACATCTTAACCACCACATTTTGATGCTGCCTCTTAAACTGGCAAAAGTTCCCTGGGAAACTTAAGTTTGCAAATGAATTAATATTTAATGAGCACAGCCCAAGAGTATAGGTACGTACATAGGAGGGGTATATAATTTAGGGTTTAGGACAGTGCAATGTATGGCCCCTGCCCCTAAAGGGAACACTCAGCTCTAATGACAAGATGTGTGCCTTCTTGTGCGGTGGCTTCCCGCTGGACGGTGCGGCATAGACACCACCAGTTCTTGCTCTAAATTCTTCTTATATTTTTTTCATACAAGCTGGATTACTTATGTCAGAATCTGACTTCATGGATCACAAACTGTATTACATTACAGCTATTTTAAAGTCTAACGTGAGGTTCCCGTACAAACATTTTGATTGAATTTGGGTGTTTCATTCATCTCCATTAGCAACTATTTATAGGAATATCTTAAGGTTGAACTTGTGCAGATAGCTAAAGTCATCCATTTTACATTAATTTTTAAAACAAATTTCCCTCATATCCTGGAAAAGGAAGTAACTTCATCTTCAAATTAAGGGGGCAGCTAATGGCCCCATTACATATGACCTTTATTCTGCGCAAGCCCATGCAAGTATTTTTTTAATAATGGAAAGAAAACCTCAGATAAAATAATACGATTATAGTTTGATCCATTCCTAAAGATATGGTTCTGTCACTTCATTGTTAATTTATCAAATCTCAATAAACAAATAATATGAAAGAGCTGAATGCCAATATAAATATCTTTTTTATTTTTGCTCCCAGATTGCTGATTTCTGGTTTAATCATCAAAGTAGTTTCTCAAGTAAACTTGTGTTTACTTGAAACACTAGTAAATCCTGGAGTATTAGTCCAGGATTTGCTCCAGGAAAATGTGCTCAGTGAATGCCAATTCTGTACATCTCTCGCTTGGAGATTCAGAAAATGCATTAACATAGAAAAAGGTCTGAGAATATTAGCAATAAAGACATTTTTACTGCTTAAAAAGTCATAGATAATTTTGTACATAATTTTTGTCAGTTATGAAATTGCTTTACAGTTTATACTTGGGATGGGATAACACTTCTGAATATAACAATACAAGATAACAGAAAAGAGCTATGGTTAGAAAGGCTGATGCTGACTTTATTCAGCATTGTCTTTTCCCATAGACCAAAATATTTTCAAATATGAAAATAATGTAACCTGACATTTAGTGTCTAAAATTTTATGTTAATTTTTATATCGACAATTACTCTTTCTAAAATATTTATACCATGGCTAAATTCTCAAGAACAGTCCCAAAGTTAAATTTTATTGCTCATTCTAAGCCATGTGCACAGACAAGTTAGCATTAAGACATCCATAGCACAGGAAGAGAAACAAATGCTGTGAGGTGCTAATTTGCATTTCTAGAATGACTCAGTATGTTACAGTTAGCTCTCCCCCTGCTGTCTGTCCAGCCCAGCTTCCTCACCTCCAAAGCCCCATCACCACACAGATGGGCTGCCTCTGAACACATCTGCCAGTGCTGCCACAATGTAAACACACTCAGCTGGTAGCAGATGTTTTCCAGGAAAGATTGCCACCACTGGAGTTGTTCTGCTTTGGATTCTATGTCCATTGATCTCCATGACTGGGCATAAGGTCATTGTGTTCAAATAGATCATTTGTCTCTCAGGTACAGAACAATAACAGGGCAAATGCTGGCTCAACTGTTTGATGTTACCATATGCACAGATGCAGATACGCCTCAGAAGGCTCTGCTAATAAGTCAAGATATTTCTTTGTTAAAATATAAGCCCTTATAAGACTGTTTTACCGAGCTCTTCAAAGGTAAAACATGGCCCTAGCAAAAGAAAAATAAATATAATCTCTGATTTTCTATGGCCATTGTTGTAATGGCTAGTGTTCCTGTGAGTTGTTATAATAATTGTGTGTATTCATAGTTCTCATTCCTACTTTATATCAATATACTAGGCATGGAATAATTTGATTTAATTATATAGACACTGATGGTGTGTTTCTTTTATGTGAGTTTATAAATTCATTTAATATAGATAGATTTGCAAATTCTTGCTGGTATGTATAATCTAAAATTACTTTGTCTTATAAATGGTTACAATTATTGGGCATTTATAAAGTCATGCTACCTACTAGTAACTGAACTAAACATGAGAAATACCTATCCTCATGGTTATCAAAATTTAGATAGAAAAGACATTCAAGATGATAAGTGGTCACATCCTTTGGTGACAGGTATTCTATTCCTAAAGTGCCCAGAGAGTTAGGGGAGCACAGAGGAGGCCAGCAGAGGATGCAGGCTACATTGAGCATGGTTTGTAGTCAAGTGGCAAATACTCCATTAAGACAGATGATCCAAAGAACAGATGCTAGCTGGATTTAGATTATTTTTATTAATCTAATCAGTAGGGTTTGAGAAACCATTATACAAAACCCAAGAAATACCCAACAATCCCTGCTTATAGAAATTACACAATTTCTACCCCTGCCCCTGACTGCACTTTACCCAGAATCAATCAAATTACAAGTTTAAATAATACTGAAGTTTACCCTAAACCAAACACTTACCACCAAAACCAAGTAACTGCAGAGCTATTGACATTATCATTGTACAAGAGCCTCCACTTCCAATTATCTCTTAACATTTACTTTGTGCTTCCAGCTGAAAGAAATACAGCATCAAAGAAAATGTCTTGTACTTGCTTTGAAGTGATGACTTTTAAAACTGACCTATTTCTGTCACTTCAATGCATGTTACCAAATTATTATAACTTTTAAGTTTGATTTTGGGGTGACCCCAGACTTTGGAAATCCACCTGCCTAAACTTTCTGAGATACAGAATGTGAGGTTTCTAATATGACCTCTCGTTCAGTGACCACAACTTCTCTCTCCTCTGCCAGCTCCCTTTTACGTTCCTACCCAAAATGTGTTTCTGGATTTTCTTTAGTCTGCTTTTACCTCCACAACTCTAGAGATCACATCTATTCTGATGCTTTGTAAACTGAGGAAAGCATGGATAAGTGGAGGCAGTAATAAAGTTGAGGCATCTATTCATAAAAGAGTGTGCATATTCATAGTTTAGAGTCCCTTAAAAGTACAGCTCAAAGGTCTTTTAATGCAAATAGTCAGTTGGGCAAATGCTTCCAGGAAGCAGAAGTGAGGACCCAGGGTACCACAGACTGATTATGCCTCCCTCCAAAACTGATGTTCAAACCTGATTCTCAGTGTAACGGCACTTGGAGGTGGGGCCTTTGGGAGCTGATTAGGTCATAAGCATGGAGCTCTCATGAATGGAATTAGTGCATTTGATAGAAGAACCCCAGCCTGCTGCCCCACCTCCTGCACCACACGAGGACACTGCAGGAAGGCAGCTGACTGAATCACCAGACATCGAATCTGCAGGTGCTTTGATTTTGGACTTCACAGCTTCCAGAACTTGTTATTTATGAGCCACCTAGTCTAATATGTTTAGTTATGTCAGACTGAAGGGACCAAGACAGACTGAAAGTATAACAGGAAAGGCGAGAAAGTCCATATAAAGGTAGGCTTTCAAAATGACTGCTTCTGTAGATACTGGGTGCTCAATCCCACTTGGACTAACTGAGAAAACTTTTCCTGAGGATCTCAGAATTCAAGGTATATAAAGAGAAAGCAGTTGCGCATCAGACCCTCTTCCCAATGACAGTTTCCCTATGAGTCATAAACTCCCAGAACTTCTGAGTTATACCTGTGAATTCTAAACTCGTTCCCACAGTTATTCCAAAGCCTATAGCAGAGACACACCCAATGCAGTTTGACCTGAGGCACTGTCTGCACAGTACTGTTTGCTGAATCAGTGGCTGGAATTAGAGGTGAGGCAGAAAATTTTTGAGGTAGTAGACAAGGGGTTTAATATGATAATTCTAGTGCATCATTTGCATAGGTTGGTGCCCTCCATTAATTCCAATGCATAATAAACTCTTCAAATAGTTAGATTGCTATAAACTTTACAGAAGAGTTTACAGAAGAGGAATAGTTTGGCAATTATAGTCTCATGAACTATGAGTCATTTCAAATCATATGTTGTTATTCATGATCTCTTTTATTTATTATTTATTTACTTTAAGACAGAGGGGAAGTGAGGGAGAAATAGAGGAGAAACATCAATGTGTGGTTGCCTCTCGCATGC